AGGTTCTAAAAGCCATTTTCAGAATATATTCCTCTTTCACCCTCAATTGGTGATAACCCGACTGGAGATCAATCTTAGAGAAATAACTTGCCCCTTGAATTTGGTCAAACAAATCATCTATTCTTGGAAGAGGATACTTGTTCTTAATGGTCACCTAGTTCAATTAGGGAAAATCAATACACGTACGGAGTGCACCATCTTCTTCCTTACAAATAAAACTGGAGCACCCCATGGAGAGATACTCGGTCGGATGAAACCCTAATCCAACAAATCTTGTAACTGTTCTTTCATCTCCTTATGTTTCGCCGGAGCCATTCTATAAGGAGGAATAGAAATAGGTTTTGTATTCGGGAGAAGGTCAATTCCAAAGTCTATTTCCCTTTTGGGAGGAATACTGGGTAGATCATCTGGGAATACTTCCGAAAACTCATTTACAACAGGGAACGACTCAAGAATAGGGGTTTCGGAATCCACATCTCTCACCCTAACCATATGGTAGATACAAACCTTTGAAATCATTTTTCTAGCTTTTAGATAAGAGACAAATTGACCTCCAGGCATAGAATTTCCCCCCTTCCACTCTAGGATAGGCTCATTTGGAAATTGAAATTTGACTACACGAATTCTACAATCTATAGAAGCATAACAGGAGTGAAGCCAATCCATCCTAATGATAACATCGAAATATATCATGTCAAGCTCTACCAAATCTACTAGAGTAACTCTATGGGATAAGAAAATGGGACATCTTCTATAGACCCTCTTAGCCACCACAGAATCACCAACAGGAGTAGAGACATAAAAATGTTGTAACAACATATCGGGAAGCATATCAAATCTCATAGCCACATAGGGAGTCACAAAAGACAAAGTAACCCTAGGATCAAGTAAAGTATAAACATCTAGTTGGAAGAATTTCAACATACTGGTAACCACATCGGGAGAACACTCTTGTTCACCTTTTGTAACGACCTGAGAGCACCCCTTAGTCGTTACCAGCGTATTCGACCTCTCGGAGGTCTTATACAAGCCCTTAGCATTCGTCATAGCATTTATCATAGAAAAATAGCGCAAAATTTAAAACTTTTTCATAATATAACACAAGACTTAAAAGTCACCTCATTTAAACCTTTAATACAAAATTGAAGTACTACATCTCAAGGTAGCCATCTTAAAACATGACTACAACACAAGAGGGAAACAACCCTTACAATACAAAAGAAACTACTATCTAGTACATAGAACTTAAGGAAACTCTTTAACATAAAGGTCCTTGAATCTTTAAGGACACACCCGAACTTGGGAATAGTAAGCCAAGCTCATCACTTCTAGGAAAGACCCTTTAGTCACCATCACCTACACTTGGTGTAAAAAGATGAAGAAGAATGGTGTTAGTACAAGAATGCACTAAGTATGATAACCATGCAAAACATGCTCTTAAAAGGACATTTAGTTGGAAACCATGCATCATGACTTTTTAGAGAAACTTTATGAACATTTAGTACATTAGGCACAATATAAACCACATGCATCATCATACACATGGGAACCATTCATAATAGCACATAGAGCCACTTATAACATTTTAGGCACATTCAATGCATACAATACATTACCTTCCCCTTTATCTTAATTCCTTTCCTCAAGCAACCCTTAGGGAATACTTGGTGCAATGTATGACCTTAAGGTTACCAATGATGAACTTACATATAACCTTCATCAATCCAACCACATATATTCATAGAGTCATAAGCACACCATAAAACACAATCTTCACATAGGAACCATCACCTAAGACAATCCCCAAGTCACACTAGTGCAATGTGCAAGTAGCATCCCATAATACTACTCCCACCAAGTGTTCCTAGGAAGCCACCATAGACTAGGCACATCATATTCAACAAGTCATAACATCTTCATTTAATCATTAGACATAAGACCAACATACTTCATAACATCATATAAGGACTCATTCATTTACTACATCATTAGTCATAACCCATTTAGTTCATATCATAGGTAAACCACCCTCACAACCCCTTCACAAGCTCACTTGTGCAATGTACACATAGAGTCCCATACCCCCACATATACTAAGCAAACCCATTAAGAAGTCATAAGTGTAATTCACATGCATAATCATACTTCATGTCTTGACATAAGTAAGTCAACCTTAACATACTTTCATATTAACATACATAGACCATAGTCTTCATTACATAAAGAGCCTAATCATAACATCCGTTAGAGTACACTTGTGCAATGCATAAGTAGGGTCCATAGTCCTACCTACACTAAGTAACTCTTCAAGAAATCATGACTAGAGTTCATATTCTTAACTTTCGAGAGACATTGCCATAACCAACATATACCATGTGAGCTACATGGAATCCAGTGTTCTACTCCCACACCGAAAAGATAGGGTACTACTTGCCAAAGTAGGACCTACATACATAATAGCTATCTAGTGGATCCACTAAGCTAATACCTACGGGGGCACGTAGTTATGGAACAAGGAGATTGCTACTAGAAAACCTTGATTTACTAAGCGTGTAGGCTTCCATCTCATGAGACAACATCTATGTTGGGAACCCGAACTTACTAAATGTGAAGGTTCTCTTGTGGGAAGCCGGACTTGCTAAACGTGAAGCCCATACTCTCATTTTTCATGTTCACTCGGTGCTAAGCTCCAACTCCCTTTTTAAACATCTTTAAGCCTTTATTTAACATTAGTTCCTAAAATAGGCTTTAGGGACTTAATCCCTCATATCATTTAGCTCAAAGGTTTCTAAGATGAGAATGACCTTTCATCATAGAACCTACATTATGTGAGAATGACCTTTCATATAATCATACCATATTCATAACATAGTCTAGTTTAGAGTACAATTGAGGAAACCTTTCAAGAGACTCACTTTCACTAGATTATCATAAACCTTATTCATTCATTTATTCATTCATGTGTGTGTGTACATATATGAGAAAGCCTTTCACATAAACACCTTATACAACACATATTCATACCTTGCTAATCATACACTTTGCATGCATGATACGATGTAAGTGTGCATCTAAGAGTTCACCTTTCAATAGACACCATAACACATCATATTCATAGGTATGCATGTAGAGTGTGTGTGTACATATTGGTCCTCATAGTGACATAATAGCAACAACTTGACATTGAGTATTCTTCCCTTAAAGGGATCACAACACATTCACCATGTCCCCAATTCATGAGCAATTCACATATAAAGCCCTTAGGGATTCTAGACCACACACCCACACTTCATCATAGGAGACAAGGACACATTCAACATTGAATAGGTACTCCTAACATGTATATGGTCAAACATTCATATAGGGGTCATATAGGTAGGGGTCATTCCACAATAGTACCTAACATAATCAATCATGTAAACCACACCTTATCCCTAACATTATCATTCACATTATACTCCTCATTATCAACACACTTTAAACATCATGCTAGCATTGAGGATTTCATACATAACCTTCATAGCATAACTTCATAAACGTATGCATCATAATCATCAATTCACTTCACATCTACTGCCTTCAAGGCCATGATCTCAACATGCATAGATAGACAAGAAGTGAACACCTCCACCATAAGTGGATCAAACCACACAACATCAATTCTCATACTATAGACTAGAAGTTAGGTCAACTTACCAAATCTCCAAGCCATGATCACCATGGATCAATCCTCAACAATTCATAATCAATTGACATAGGTAGCAATAGGAATCAACAATGTAATTCACTAACATAAACATAATCTAAGTACAATTCTATAAACAAAGGGATCAACCCATAACTTTGTCCATAAGGCCATAATTCTCAACTCATCAATATACCAACAATTCAACATGAATAAGTATAGATAATCATAGGAAACATCAATACAATCTAATCTAAACATAATTTCACCAATATAGATCATATTCACAAAGACCCACATCATAGGCCAATTTTGAGAATTTGGGGATCATGGGTTCTTCAAGGATTCCTTTGAAAACTGTCTTAAAAACCTTAATTCCACATGAATTCATCAGTAGAATGATTTAGAAAATCGTTTGACAAGGAACCCATGTTTAGATTGAAAATTGGGAATTTTGGTCTTTGAATCACTTTTGAAAATCTTTGATAGAACTCCTTGAATGAGAGGTTATTCAAGGATCAAGAGTTACCATACCTTAATTATTGAAGACCCATGAAATTGAAGAAGAAATCGGTTGAAAACCTATCTTCTAGCTTGAGCTTCATCAAAGTCTTCAATGGAGTTTTTGAGAAAATCTATTTTGAGAGGGAAGTGTCAGTTTGAAGAATGGGGTCTAATTTTAGGTTTTTGGGGTTTTTACCAACTTAAAATACCCTAAAATAGGTAGAATAACCGTTTATAATAATTCCCTATAGTACCCAAACTACCCTTCACTTAGTTGGACCTTTTAAATAAGTCAAACTTGAGTTTTATTTTCGCAGATTTCGTCGGGAAACAAGTTCGCGACGCGGAGGTGTTCCCACAAGTTTTTCATAAAATAAATCCGAGAGAGTAGAGTCCGCGACATGTCCACGACGCGGACCAAACATTTGGCTCTTGGTGGAGCTAGTCCACAACGCGGACATGCTCCCTCCAAGCACAATCTCAAGTTGCCTTGGCAGCTTGCTTGGCCAAGGTTGGGGTCCTCCTCGAGGAGCCTTAGGGTGGCCCCCGGGGCGTCGTATCCGAACGTTTTGACCCTAAAAACATTTATTAAGACACCAGGGTCACCTTCACTGATTTTAGACTCCAAACAACACATACAAACATGAACAACATACTAGAACACACCAACACGTAAAAGACTAGTTTGCGAACGTCTTGGTCGTCCCTTGACGTTTGACTTCCAAACTCTTTAAAACTGACTTAAAAGGCTATTCTTCATTATTTTAACAAGTTATTAATGCATAAAACTCATGTGAGTCTCTACTTCATCCTACTTTATTTTGAGGGTCGTTACACCTTCAGTCTGAAGTGCATAGAAACGGTTTTGCTTAGGAGCATTCGCACCCGAACCACTTGGATCAGATGAAGGATAGAGTTGAGCCCTACGACGACCATATCCATCATTCTTATCAACCAAAGGACAATTCCTTATCTTGTGATCCATCTTCCCACAACCAAAGCAAACATTGTAACCCGCTAAGCAATTACCCTCATGATTTCTCCCACACTTAGCACAAGTGGGCATCGAAGACCTATTACCATCTCCTTGAGGTTTTGGGTTGGACACCCTTTCATTGTTAGGCCTTGGAGGAGCATTAGAATAACCTTGCCCGGAGAACTTTTGCCTAAACCTTGAACAACCCCATCCACCAGACCTAGAATGTGAAAATTTACCATTATCCATTATTGCCCTTTTTGTCTCCCTAGACCTTTCCTAAAGATTTTCATCTTCAATTTGTTGGGCATGCACCATAAGGTGAGAAATGTCCATGTCATGGACGAGCATAACAGTATAGCACTCTTTGACTACCATGTCGAACACACCCAATACAAACTTACTCATTTTAGCCCTACAATCTGCCACTATAAATGGAGCATATTTGGACAATTGAGTGAACCTCAAAGCATATTCCCTCACACTTGTATTTCCTTGCCTAAGATTAATGAACTCAAGCACCTTGGCCTCTCTCATCTCAAGAGGAATCTATCAAGAAAAGCACTTTTGAACCTCTCCCATTCTATGAGACCCGCTTCTACCGGCCTTGCCTTCTTCCACTGATTGAACCAAATTTGTGCAACCCCTTTGACTTGATAAGTTGCCAATTTCGCCTTCTCTACTGGAGTCACTCCCATAATAGCAAGTATCTTGTAGACCTCATTGATAAACGCTTGAGGATCTTCCTCAACTTTGGAGCCATAAAATTCCGGAGGATTCATCCTTGTAAAGTCCCTCACTCTTGACGCCGCTGTACCCATATTTGGGTTCACGGGGATTACCAACTCTCTATTGGCTTGTGCCGTCATGGCTTGATCCAACACCTGAAAAGTCGACCTAAACTCTGCATTTGTTATATTCTCAGCCAATGGGTCAATCAGAGCTTGAAGAGGAGCAGGGGCTTCTTGACCCACATTTTCTTCCTCATTCCTTCTAGATGCCCTTCTAGTAGTCATATCCTGAAAACCATCGGGTAAGGATTTAGAAAAAGATCTTATATAGTTAAACTTTATGGCACGACTTAGATAAATGAATAAGTAAGATTTCCTAAGCATCTAGTAGCCTCTCATTCATAAATGTGGCGCGCTTCACACTTATGAACAAGACTATACTTGACGTGGTTTTGAGACATCCTAGAACCATTCTAAACCTTGTGCTCTGATTACAAAGTTTGTCACGACCCAGGGGTACCCCCTAGATGTAACAAGGCTTAAAAGACCCCGAGAGACCTCATACAAGTCACTTAGCATATCATAACATAAAGTAATAGAAAAAGGTATAGAAATTTAAATCATTTTCAAATATAATCAAAATCTTTTTATAAAACGAGCGGAAGTCTAATATCATTTTCTCAAACCACCTAACATAAGAATAATCTTGGGACACATCCCATACAATAGTCCAAGATTAAAAGAAAGACATAAAGTAAAATAGGGTGGTCAAATCCTCGAAAGCAATGAGGACTCATCAAATCTTCACTTCTTGATCGAGTATGAGCCTAGCCACGAGTGTGAGAATCAATATCGCCGGACCCTACATTTTGATAAAAAATGTAAGCAAGAGTATGCGTTAGTACAAACATGTACTAAATATGATAGCTTACAAAAACAACATAAACATAGGCATTAGTCAACATAAGACATAAAGCATAAGAACAATCAATACATGTAAATCATCATAATGAAAGAGGAATACTTCCTTAAGTAACCTCACTTATCCTTAGCCAAGACTTGGGACATCCGCCTCTAGTCATGCTTACATCATGGAAGGCAACTCAAGCAACAATCCAAGCTAATCATCTTCATAACATAATTCACATTATTCATACTTACATTAAAAGATATGGGTATTCGCCTCTTTGCCTAATTTATAAAGGCTAATGGGTATTCGCCTCTTGCCTTGCTTACTTTAGGGTTATGGGTACTCACCTATACAACTACATCATATGACACGGGTACTCGCCTCTATGTCCAATCATCATAATAGGGTTGTGGGGAGTCATCTCTTGTTCAATTCTAAGGAGTATGGGAAATCACCTCATATCCTTCTCATATGGATGTCAAGGGTAGTCGCCTCTTGCCTCATCAATTATTTAGCATTTTAGTCTAGATTCATTTTAGGTAAGTAATCCTTTCAACCTAGAATCTTTCATGTGAGTAAACCTTTCACATTCATTCAATCATGATTAGCAATTCATTGTGAGAAGTATCTCTTCCACACTATATCATTAATAATCAACAATTCATAGTCTAGGCTTTACTCTCAAAGCACTACATCCCATGATCATCATTTATGCTTCACTCTCAAGAAATTCTAATCACAAATCATCTATCTTACAAGGATATATCTAACCCATAAAGTTTCCCTTCATGGCATCAACCCAATCATATCAATTCTATGCTAGAAACATAGGATATGGATGGGTACATGTAATTTCATCCTAAAACCATGTAATTTTATCAATCAAATCATAAACAATCATTATCCTACTATTTGGATCAACATTCATCATAACCCACAACAATGGAAGAAACCCTAACTCAAATTAGGGATTTAGACTTCACAATTGGGGAATCTTAAGGGACTTCATGAGAGAAAGGATCCCATGGATGAAAACCATCATACCTTAGTCACAGAGCCCAACAAAATCTTGAAAATTGGAGACTTTAACTTGACCTAGCTTCAATCTCTTCCTTCTTCTTCCACCTTCTAGAGAGAGAATATTTGAGAGAAGAGTTTTGGGATTTCTTTGGGGTTTTGAAATAATGACTTGAATGGGTGAATTTTTGGGGTTAAAATCCTTATATAGGTGGTCTAGGCTTAGTTAAATCAAACCCACATTAATTGAATTAAAATTAGAAAAAACCCATCTGCCCCTAAAAATTAACTGACAGATGTGACCGACGGACCCCACCGATGGACCGTCGATGGATCCACGGTCCGTCCTGCATAGCCGTCAATGGTGGTCAGAGGCTGATTTCTGAGGGTTCGACCTACGAACCCTAGACCCTTGGAATGACGAACCGTCGATGGACCTATGGTCCGTCCTGGTCAACCATCACTAACTACATATATTTTTTGCCATCTACGGACCCTTGGACCATGGATCATAGTCTGACCTATAGTCCGTTGGGCAGGCCGTCGTACTAAGGTTTGAGTCTAGGCTGACGTGTCCAACCACGGACACTACCTATGGTCCGTGGTCCCAACCACGGTCTGTGGATGACCACCGTCAGTTGGCACCTGCAACTTTCTAAAACCTGCAATTTACCTCTTTTGAATCAGGGGTGTTATAGTATATGTATTGTTGTTTTTCTGTGAAAATTTATTTTTTGTTGCTTTTGTTATTCTTTTTGTGACCATTTTGTTCATATGATTTTAGAAATATAGTCTTGTTCAGTTGTCCAACATATATTTCATTTGTTGAAATATGTGTCTTATGTTACAACATATTAGTGATATGTTGGTACATATTCCAACAGAGTTGTCATATGTTGGAACATGTCACCTATGTGTTAGAGCAACAAAATGGTCATTTGTAGTAACAGGTTCCCCATATATTGAAATCGAAGATTCATATGTGGCAACAAAAGATTCATTTGTGGCAACATAAGATTCATTTGTGGCAACATAAGATTCATTTGTGTCAACAAAAAATAGATTTGTGGCAACGAAATGTCCATTTGTGTCAACATAAGTATAAATTGCTACCCTTTATTATTTTTATAATCAATTGTAAACTCTAAAACTTTTTTTATTTACCTTATAGATCAAATGATATAAGAAGTTTCATCTATGGCAACAACTCAATCTTTGGTTGGTGTTGGTTCCTCTTCTAACCTCAAATGCTCTTCTTGTCGATGCGAAGTAAATGAGCAGCAACATGATTATTTTATTAGTTGTGTTAAAGAAATCACTAATATTTTTAAGGAAATTATTTATAATATTGATTTCCATACATCTAGGAAGATTTCACAGCCATTGAAGTGTAAGAGGTTGAAAAAATCTATTTCCCGATCACTATCTATAATTATTAAAAGAAAAAAATAATGACTACTGTTCCAGTATCTTCCTCAACCCCAAAAGGCAAGGAGAAGGAGAAGGAGAAAAATAAAGAGAAAGAGAAAGAGATAGCGAAAGAGAAACAAAAAGAGAAATAGAAAGAGAAAAAGAAAGAGAAGAAAGTCGTCAGTTGTGATGTGAAGCAACAATATCCATTTGAAGGTTTTAACATTGCCGGTGAGGGTCCAACTGAACTAATGTCATCCTTCTCGCAATGGATAAACGAAGGTCTTTACAAGCATCATGCAAAAAAGTAGAGTCGTTCAACTATTTTTAGTATTTCTTCTTGATGTCCACCAAATAATTATTTTTAATGTTTATACAATTACAGAAGAGACAAGGATGATCACTACTTAGTCAATTGCTCGAAACTTGGATTCAAACAACTTGATTTTTTAGTTGCATTTCCAAAAAAGAAGGACTGGTTCTACGTAATGTCTCAACCCAATAGGTGTTGGACTGATGAGGTAAATCCATGCCCACTTATGTTTTAATTAAGACATGAATACATACAAATAATTGATACAAAAATACACTTGTTGATGCATCTGTGCAAAATGTGGTTATCATTTTGTACTATTTGCGGAAGAAGACAAAGCAACAGAGTCATTCTAAATATAGATATACCACTACTAATTGTTTTTTCAAAACATACACTAAGAATGCCAGTGTTGTTCTTGAAAATGAGAATAAAATCGTTGACACTATCAAAGGGTTTAGTATACTTGCTGGACTGCCTTGGCACCTCACATATGAGGTTTATGTCCCTGTAAATTGTAATGGGGAGTTTCATTGGGTCTTGGCTGTCGTTGTATTGAAGGAACAATGCATAAAGGTGTATTATTAGATGTTCTTGTAACACCTCCAAATATTTTAAGTTAAGACCTGAACCATTCTTCATTTGTGAATAAGATTGTACTGGTGATTCTTAAATTGCCCATATGTGTAAAGGTCAATTCTTTAGTGTGGAAATGATTTTGGATATCAATTAAAGTCCTTAGAATCTCCTAGCACAAAATTGAGTTGAAAGTTTCCTTACCGATTAAGTATTTATGTAAGATTCTACTTGGGTCAACTTCGAACGACCATATCTCTTAGAATATAAAGAGTTACGTGGCCCATGACCTATCAAATTAAAGATATTTGAATCTTCTTTCCAAGGCCACTAATTTCGTAAGAATCCAAGTTTTGAGTAAAAATTTATGACTATTTTAGTAATCTGCTACAGTAACAAATTAGTCTACGGGAAAACATTAAAAAGTGTCGTATTTGTCTTTTTACCTCTAAGAAAACCCTAAAGGAATTTCTTGACTAATAAAAGGACTTAAAAATAAGATTTGCATCTCTTAATCCCTCATTCTCTTCTCTCTCAAACCCTAAGGCAAAACCCTAACGAAAAATCAAAGTAGAAGATTTGAATCAAGATTCTTTCAATCTTTTTCAAGATTCTTCTTCAGGGTAAGTTTTCCTCCAAGAATTCCATTCTTTCCAACTCAAATTCCTACATACAATTATGAATCACTAATGAAAATCATAATTCTTGGCCATAGAGATTTCAAGAAACTAATTCAAAAATGTCAAGAAAAGGTTTTCTTGATTGTTCTCCTTCAAGCTAAGGTTTCAAGGATTCTAATCAGGTTATTCTTCAAGATTTTTCAAGAACCTTGTTCTTCTAGGTATGTAAGGCTATCATAGTTTTGGACTAGTTCGTCCTCATGCCCTACATCTAGTTTTAAATCAGTAAAAGAGTAATCTAGGATTCTATCCCTAGATTTGAGTATCCTTGAGATAAGTTGATTTTGAGTTCTTGAGTTCCTGTTTCTTTTGAAATTCTATTCCTAATTATTGAATTGCTATATGTTATGCATTAAGATTCTTGAGTAGATTCGTTCAT